TGAGAGAGATACGCAACAAACTGTTACTTCAAAGGACAAGTGAGTTACACAGGATTCTTATGAAATTCTTATGGGTGAACAAGTTGCATATAGAAAGGAACGATCTACTCTTGAAGGCAAAAATTCATAGGGAATTCCAATAACCAAAACATAATGTACATAAAGTTGTAGCTTACGGCACCGATGCTTAATGCATAAAGGAAGGTTGAAGTACAAAAAAGTAGTGTGCTTTCAGTATCGTTTACGCCACATACCTGATGTACAAAGGTTTCTGGTATTGTTATCAAAAGGTGTAGTTTGTGTGGCTTTGATTATCCATTCAGATCGGTTTCGATACGAGATTGAGACACGACATAACGACTGCTCCTTTTTTTAAATTTTTTTCGTGTTCACAGTGCATCAGGTGGTGAAACATCCTACGAGAGAGAGACATATGAAGAGATGGCCGCCATTGAAGAAGAGGCGATTGAGGATTTAAAAGATAACAAGAATCAAGGGTGAGTTTAAATTGGAGTTGAAGAGGAGAGAGCTTTTTTTCGTAAAGCCATACCATTAATCAACCATAGACTGTGGTGATTAGAAGTGAAATGGAACAATGTACAGGAAAACGGCACTTGTTGATGGAGGACATATATTTGGAGGGAAATGTTCGAAAACGGGGCGTGCAGTTGACTAGGGATCAAATTGATATGATATCTAACAAATTATGTGATTCTATCTATCGTTGTCTTTCATTTTTACTCTTTTATTCACTCTTACGAACACTGCTGTCTTTAAGTTGTCAAGTCTAAAAATGAACACCACTGTTTTTATTGTGTTCTCAGGCAAAATGTGTTTCGAATGGCAGCGGATAGTCTCATCAGGAATTGGCAACGGCGTTCTAGGAAATGGCGTCGATCAACAGAGGAACCTTTCAAAAGCGAAAGTTTGAGTGAAAATGATGGGAGAGCAAAGGAAAACGAAACAAACGAAAATGAAAATAAACACTATGCACTTGCTGAAGGCCAAAATGAGGATGAAAATGCAAATGTGAGCTTAGATGATAAAGACGTTAGAGTGAGTGGAACACCACCGTGCACTCCATTTAGAAAAAATGCTGTTGTGTCTCGTGCGAGACCTCGTCCAGTTTCTTTAGGATATTTGTCGACTAATGATCAATTAAAAGAGCATCAGCAGAGAATCAAGGGCAAGGTGTTATCGGACCCTAGTTTAGCAAAGGATGATGATTCACTTGAGTGTACAGGAGATGTGTGGATACCAAGGAGCCAAACACTTTCATCAAAAAGGAGGCCATCTGATAATTTTGGAAGGTCAGTTTGCTCTAGTGTGGTGTCAGGAGACTCATCGCCCTCAACGGGAAGCAAGAAGAGCTTATCGCGAATTTCCCAAGAAAGTCTGGCAGATTCTGGACTTTCTGAAACACCCGGGAGTTCTCCATCAAACACACTGAACAACAGAACTCAAAAATTCTTAAAAGAGAAAAGAGACAAGCTTAGTAGTTCATCGCTCACCAATGTTTCGGTAACAAATGAACCTAAACGTAAACTCTCTCAGCTGAATAGGAGGAGCTGGGGTGACTGGGTGTCTGCCGAAATGGAAAATACACAGGATGAGGTGTCTGTAGAAAGAGACGATCAAGTTGACGATGTCAGCGTTAAGAATAAACGCAGGTTTAAGGATGTTATGAAGCAATTTTTCTCTTCCAAGAAAAAGTGAGTAGCATGATGGAATAGCATCTAAATAGAGTTTGTGTTCGTCGGTCTTTAACTTCCTCTATAAAAATGTTTGCTTCAGCTTCAGTTAGCCCAGCATAGTACTTTGAAACATATTTTATTTGGAATCAATATAGAACACAAGAGAGATAGACAATCTAGGTAAATAAATGAGTTAGCAGCATTGCTCCAGAACTGTTGGGTGGGGTGG